TTGCTTATATAATTCTAGATGGCCCCTCTTGGGATTTTAATGTTGCAACTTGTTTTATGTTTCTTTTAAGGCATTAGATTGCAATTGGGTAGAAATTTGGTGAATGAATAAAAAAGTAAATAAATACTCACGTAAGATATTGTGGCCCTGAAACTTTTTAGTTTTCTCTCTTCGTTGTTCCTCTTTAGATACAGATTCTCTTCTCCAAGTAGGGAGTAGGCTGACAGGTGGCTAACTGAGTAGTCTGAGTTCGGGGTAGTTTTTGGGTTGTAAACTGAAGATAAGATTAGCAAGCATTTCGGACCATATTTCTATACTTGCTTAAATGTGATAAGGATTAAAAAAAGCAAAGTTTTCTACAGGAGATAGATGCTGGGATCAGCAAAATTAGGGATTTGGGAGGACAATATCAGCAACGATGCTCATCGTGTGAAGCTTGTTATACTGCCAAGGCTGAGAGTATGGTGTCTGAAGTTGCCACGGCTGAAGACAGAGAGCTGGAAAGGAGACAAATTTTATTATCAAATCAAAGGTTCTCTTCTGTCCATTTCCAAGACGAGAAAAGAGTGACATGAAATCTGGACAGGAGAAAGACATGTTAAAATTAAAATCCTTAGGCTCTTACATGTAGAAAATTGCCTTGCTAGACTCTGTATTCAGTGATCTGCATTATTACGGCTGCGGTGTAAACAGATTACCTATCTGAGCCTTGTCCTTGACTTGGCTATTTCCAACCTCTGAGTACCAGCTAAGTTCCTGGGGAGCTATTGCTGCGTCCAGATGCTGCTCTTTAAAGGAGGCCCTTTTGCTCAGGATTTCTAATTATTCTGTCTCGCTTTCCCTTTTTTAATCTTCTTGTTGCCGCTTTTTGCCTCACTGTTTCTTAAACGCATCCCACTCTTGGCTCTGTCTCGTGGGTTGCTCTTCTCCCTTATCGGGAGCAACATACTTTCTTTTTTCTAAAGTCTCAGAACTGATTTTCGAAATGCTGCAGAACACAGCTTCTATCACATGTGGTATCAAGGTTTTCCCCACAGTGCATCTTTGTCGGAGGCATCCAGGAGGGATCAAGATTGTGGCCATAACTGCAAGGAGTGAAGCCCTGCTCATTTTGTGAATGTATCATACACATGTGTAAAGGGGTGGTGCTTTAATTGCACACCTGCAACTGCTGTGTTGGGCTTCTTTTCTTTCTTTTTACCCTCTCCTTGTAGATCAGGGGTCCCAAACTTGGCAACTTTAAGACTTGTGGACTGTGCTGGCTGGAGAATTCTGGGAGTTGAAGTCCACAAGTTGCCAAGTTTGGAGATCTCTGCTGTAGATGCTACTGCCCTGGTTCTCTGTGTACCTGCAGATGTTAGGCATGATTACAGCTTTTTCTATTACGCCTCCAACCGCTTCTGAATATATGTTTATAGTTGTGGTGGCTACTATCACTGGCTCTTTGGGCTGCAGGAATGTGCCTTGTATTTTCTCTGGCTTCAGCAGCCATTCATTTTTCAAGTGTCACGTGTATCACCTCATTTATTTTTATTTATTTTCAGTGCCACTTATTCAGGAAATGGAATCCAGAATTATGATACCCTTGAAGATTTCTCCACTTCAGTAAAGCTACTGGTCAGCCGATGCCTAGGCATTGATTTAAAGTGACTTTTTGTTGTTGTTGTTTTTAGTTAATTTTGTTGGCATGTGTTTGGCAGTGAAAACCTTGACCTCTCAAAGTATTATATACTGAGGCTGGTAAATCTTTTCTTCGGATCCTGCAGGAGCACTTACAAATCCATATGGAAGGTTTGCAGGGTGGTCATTTAAGTCTTAGCTTTCAACCATATAACTGCACAAGCATTTGGACAGGCAGCAAACACTGATGGAAGCACACATGCTTCAGTGATAGTCGCATGAGCTTTAACCATTTGAACATCTGCATTTTATTATGGGGAGACTTGTCAATTGAGTATTTTTGCTTTCATATCTGCTTATTCAGCCTATCGGGCCTTGTGGTACAAATCATTGCTGGGGAAAGCCTTCCTCCTTTCTTGCAGTTCTCCAGATTTGTGCAGAGGGCAAATGGCATGGTTGCTTTCTTCTTTCTAGGAAAGGTGTACTGTTACCTCAAGGATGTTTGTTACCAATCTCTCCTAAGAGCAAAGGAGCTTCCTGCACTACAAAATGGTGACCGTAGTATTTCTAAAAGTCACCAATGTTCACTCAAAGACACTTGGAATGTAGATGTGAAGTTAGAATATCAAAAGGAAAAAAAAATCTTAAGTTTCTTAATATAGTTTGATCTGCAACTACCTGTGCAGTTTGCATCTGTCAGCCTTTACTCATAAGTAAGTCCCATTGTGCTTAGTAAGACCAATTTCCCCAAAAAGTGAAGCTGTTGTCAATAGGGGAGAAGTTACAATTACAGTAAGTCTTCCTGTATTTTTTACTTTTCTTCTACTTTTACTTTACTTTCTCTCTTGCTTCTTTGTTGGGAACTATAAACTTAATTGAAGAGTAAAGGCACTCATGCTTCTCATTTGTAAATACCCCATCCTGATTGCTCTGTTTCAATCAAGAGTCAGTGGCAAAAAGTTTCCCAGAATGTATTGTGGACAGCTGTGCAGTTAGATGAGATTCAAGCCAGATGTCTTCAACTTTAGGATGACATTCAATGTGACATATCTAGCGAATTCCCTAATCTATAGCATGAGAATCAGGTTAAGAAGAATCAGTGTGTTAAAATATTTTACAAACACTCCTAGACTTACACAGTAAAGTAGGATATGGACAAGTATTTTTTTTTTGGAAAAAAAAAACATTTCAATCATTTCTGTGGGATTCTTTTGTAGATGGTAGTTCAGAAAAGGTAATGAAAAGTTTGCCTATTAAATTACTTAAAGACAAATCAATGTTTCTGCCATGTATAATTGTCTGTTTTTGATTTTCTTTTAGAATAGGTGGATTTTTTTATATGTGTGTACAATGTAGATACATTGAACTGATTAGATTGTAAGTTGATGAATCAGTGTAATACACTGTTATCTATCATCTATGATGTATCCAACATTTCAGTGATTTTTGGCAAAATATAATAAAATCCTATTGATTTTCTCATATCATGGGCATTGTTTCGAGCTTTACTGATTATTATTAGATATTGTTTCTTTTTGCTTGGAGACAGAATATAAAGTCTTACTGAATTCACTGAATTGAATTTACTTACATGAATTATTTTAATCCGACTTGTGGAGCTGGAATGATAGAATAGTACCTGAAAAGGCAATTCAATCCATAATAAATGAATAGAATTAATTGTGCTTTAGTAAGGACAGCATTCTAGAGGTCACACTGACTGATTTTCACACAACAGGATTCTCCACAGGATCAGGCTGATTGAGGAAAACATGCTTTCTCTGGAGAATTCCTGTTCTGAGGATAACTGAAAAAGAAGCTGCAAAACCATCTTGATCCACAATAAATACTTCCTGGGACATTCCAGGCATTCTCTGTGGCTTGCTGTTAGATCCTGACATGGCCAAGAGTAAAGGATGAAGATGTTTGGCTGAGCCAATCCAACCACCACATGCATATCCTCAGCCTCAATGCCCCAAATCAGTGCCATGAAACCAGATGAGGTAGTACTTTGGACATCTTCAACAGTGATGTTCAATGTCCTATAATCCTAATTGTCTATTAGAGTATAAACAAGCATTTAAACCATGAAATTACATCAGATACAAATACATCATTTTTAAATCAGAATTACAGCAGATAAAAAGTTTAAAGTCAGGGTACCAAGAATGGCTACTCCACCAGCTGAAAATGCAAAAGGATCTGCAAAGCAGTAATAAAAATCAAGGAGCATAATGAAAAATGGGGCTAAATTGGAATAAGACAAAAACTATGACAGGTACAATATCCAACCTTAAAACTGGTAATGAAGATACTGAAGTGATTGATAACTTCTGCCTTTATTATGTATTTAGCATATGGCATATCATAAATGGACTAGCAATACATATTAACATTTCATTTAGATTAGTAGAAGCCAATATAATATAAATATGAAGAAGATTTATGTTCAAGTATCAATGTCTAGGCCATCTAACCATTGAAGCGCAGCATTGGTTATATTTTAAAAAGTCAGATACTTGACCAGTGTATGCCTTCAGCTTATGGCCGGTCTTCTGTATTTAAGATCAACAGTAAAGGAATAATAAATGAGCAATCAAGAAATACACCACAGATTAGCATTTGATAGAGGAGTCATGAAGGTATTGGGGGGGGAAGATTCAGGTGCTATGATGTATCTGTTCCTACAAAGAACATAATAGTGCAAGCAATGGGACACTATGAAAGTAAAACTTGGACTTTGAAGTGGGATAAAAGAATATTGACATTTTTGTATTCTAGTGTTGGGGAAGACCGCTGAAAATACCATGCACCACCAAGAAAACAAACAAATGAAACATTGAACAAATTTGAGTTTTCACTCAAAGCATGATAATCAGGTCAAATTACCCTCGTTCAAGCGTATTAGGCAAAAACCTATCTCTCTGATGCAGACTCTGATTTTGGAAAAGATAGACTGAAAGAGAAGAGAATGACTAGAAAGTGGATGGACTCAGTTACAGTAACAGTGAGTGTTACTAAAAACAGGTTAGGGGTAAGATTGTCATGAGGAAAATCTATGTATTCGCTAGAAGTTGAAAACTCAATAGCACAGAATCTTATATCTACCTGTATCTATCATCTATCTACTTCTTAGTAAAGGTGTCTGATCTTCCACATCAAAGTCTGATTTCCACAACCAGCAGCCACTGATTTGCTAGGAAGATTGTAGAAATAAACTCCCATAAATTTGAGGGTTTTCTATTTCCAGTGGTTCAGACACAGAACAGTTAGCTAGACCTATGGTAATAATGGGCACAAGTAATAAAACCTTGGCAGAATGTCTACGGAGATTCTCAATCATCCAGATTATGATTGTTCCAAAGGTGCTTTTTAAAGAGGCAACTGGACTTTCTGGTTTTTCTTTCAAGATGTTTCGCTTCTCATACAAGAAGCTTCTGAAGCTTCTTGCATGAGAAGCGAAATGTCTTCAAAGAAAAACCAGAAAGTCCAGTTGCCTCTTGAAAAAAGCACCTTTGGGAAAACTTTGGAAGGAAAATCAAATCCCAAGAACCAGTCAGGAATTTGGATGTCTTCCCTTACATGAGTTTTGGTATAAGGACTATTTTGTCTTGTTCTTCAGGGGGTTTCTGTTTTCTCCTCTGAAGCTAGCTGAAACAATGTTCTCTTACCTGTTCCCTATTCAACCTCACCTGGTGGAATCTGGATTTATCTAATGAATTTGGAGAGCAGTCTAGGTGCATATGAAGCTAGTTGCTTCATAGACTTTGTTTTATTTCATGGATCCATAGATCGAATATTGCCAGAATATTGCGACAAATAGCATGTTTAATGTACAGTGAATCAGTTTTCTGTTTTAGCACAGAAAGATAAATCTTCCCTTGACTTTTGTGCTACATATTTAGGCTTTGCTGACTTCTAGTGATCAACTGGATTTTTGCAACCCAGATATAATAGGACTGCTTAAATCAAGCTCCGCACCTGGTAATTTAATGTGTATATTTGTGTTGATTTCTTAACAACAGTACTAGTCTCCCATTGCTTTCTTCCTGCATGCTTTTTGACTTCACGATCTTGCTGTAGCTCTGGGACTCCCTGTAATTTTCCATCTGCATCCTGTACTAATGCCATGCCACAAAATATTAACTAAGATGTAGTTAATTGGCTGGACTTGTGGGTGAAAGGCTGGCGGTTTCAACCTTTCTTGTCTAGAAGCCCACTGAATCTACACAATGTGACTTGACCTCTTTCCCTGGTGTAGCAGTTTGGTGATTTCTGCTGCTATCTAGCATCTTCCCTCTAATTCTAGTTTGAAAAAAGAAGACTGACACAACCTATGGTGTCTTTGTAGCAAATAAAAGGTTTTTAAAAAATGGAAATAAAGAATATATATAAAATGAACCTGGTAGAGTGAAGACATCCTTTAACCCTTTCCCTCATTGGGAGATCTCACAAGTGATAAAATCAAACTTTATTTTTAAAAATAAAGTCATCTGAAAGATACAATCAATGAAAACTCGAAATTACAAAAAGGCATGCAATGTTCATGGCAGACCACTAGATGGTGATAATCTACTCTAGCGATCATGGGCAAAAGATCCTCTTTGTTATATATTACTTCCAAATAAATTAATCAAGAAGTAAATATAAAAAGTGAATATTGAACTAGGAATTAGAATATATTTTCTAGGACACTCAGACACAAGAAATTGAAATTGATTGTAACATATACAAAATAATATATACAGTATATAACATATAACAACACAAGAGCAAACAATAGATACAAACTCAAGGTTAATCGCACCAAACTTGATTGCAGGAAATACGACTTCAGCAACAGAGTGGTCAATGTCTGGAATACTCTGACTGTGGTTTCTTCCCCAAACCCCAAAAACTTTAACCTTAGACTGCCTACTATTGACCTCACCCCTTTCCTAAGAGGTCTGTAGGGGGCGTGCATAAGCGCACCAACGTGTCTACCGTCCCTGTCCTATTGTTTCTTTTATTTTTCTTATATGTATCCATGTATTCATAAGTATGTTTTTACTTATACCTATTATCTTGTAAGCAATTGACAAATAAAAAATAAATAAATAAATATAATTAGAGCAGTTATTTCTTTCTTTCAAATATCAGGAACCAATATCATTTATAGCTATGTTAATACAAAGTTATTCTGTCTAATATTTGACAACTGGATAAGTTATAAAATTATGAAAGGCATGCATTTAGTTAAAAAATATTCTGTGAAATTAAAACATTAAAAGAACGAGGAAGGTACTGTAACAAGGTAGATCACGTCAATGTTAGGGCGAGAAAAAAATGTGTGTAAGCATCGCTCAGTACCTGCTGTAGAATGTATATATGTACATATATTTGTCTATATGTTTGTATGTTTTTAAATGTTTTAAATGTATGAATCTTAAATAAACTTTATTTGATGTTAAAAAAAGAAAAAGAAAAAGTTATTTTGTCTATGGAGCCTACCAAATGGGAATTAGACAATGCAGTGACTGTAAAGGTCCTTTATCACTATGCCTGTCCCCAAAATATGCTGATAATGTATTCCCACTTGTAACTGGTTTTTGTGGCTGGGAGATTGGTGCTAGGTTCCTGCTGATACTCTACCTGCTTCCCCCACTCCATCTTCAGAAAAGGGGTGCTTTGATCTTTCTAGGTAAGCCATGAATTTTCCTTGCCAATCAAGACAGGCACTGCTTTCCTTTGTCAAGCCCAGACAGATCCACATTCAGGCAAAGCTTGATGGTGGCTGAGATATGCTGACTTCCATACTTTGGATTAACTAGACTCTCCTGTACTGTAATTGTGTATCCCTATCCATTTAAAAAAAAAAATCCTAAGGTTTTCTATTCATTCTTACCTGTGAGAGGAAAAAGATCTCAATAAGATGCCATTGCCTTTTCCCTTTGGACTGGCAAATCCCTTCAACTCTAGAATTAAGCTGTAAACATGGAATTAGCTCTAGGCTGTGGCTCTCAATATGGCTTCCTATTTTTATTTTTGCTCTTCAGTTGAGGCAAAAGTGAAGGTTTGGTGTTGCATCACCCGATCATTTCCCATCTGAGTGCTTCTGACATGTGTCCAGGCATGTTCCCTGGCCCTGAAAGTCAGCTGTTTGTTTTGTCTGTCAAACAGTGGAATTTTTCCATTGAAGCCCTTGAACTTTCTGACCGCCCAGTGGCATTCACCCAGCTTCACCAAACAGTGACTTAAAAGTCTATCCTGGCCAACAAATGTGTGCCAATTGCCACACAATCCTTTTGTCGAAAGGATTAAAAGTTTGGGTAGAAGATGTGTGCATATGTGGCCTGCATTCACATTTACATGTTACATTTTTTTTTTTTTTTTGTAAAGACAGCTAAAAATGCTGTGTGAACCAAGCTGCTATACTGGACTTATGACTGTTTGAAGTTATGATGGACTCCCTGGGGGTACTTGTGACCAAGAGTTGAAATGTTAA